AGGCAAGGCAAGAAATTAAAAGGAGAAGGTGAAAAAGTAAAAAGAGTCAACAAAAGGCCAATAACATGTCAATAATAAGTCAGTACATATCAGTTATAACCAGCAATGTCAATGGCCTCAACTCACCAATCAAGAGAAATAGACTGGCAAAATGGAATAAGAAGCAAAATCCAATAATACGTTGTATACAAGAAACACACCTAGTGCAAAAAGAAGCCCATAGACTGAAAGTGAAAAGGTAGAAAACAATTCTCCATGTGACAGGAGCCCCCCCAAAAAAACGGGTAGCAATCTTATTTGCAGACAAAGTAAATTTCAAACCAAAACAATCTAGTATTATTGATGTAGGACAGTACTGTATCATACCTCTATGAATGTAAAGAGCTATCATTTATCAGAGCTACATTTAATGATATTACTCTAGAATGTTCTCTTTCCAGATGATGATTAAGATGCTAATAAAAAAAATGGTGCCAGGTACCAGAGCAGCAACAGAACTTGGCTATTGTCTGGATATTATTCTTTTCTTTGGTTTTTTTTTTTTAATGGAATGTGCCGAATGTCTATAATTTTGTTCAGATGACTGAAGAACCTGGAAAAGCTGTTGCTGCTATCGATGCAGAACATACTATCACACACACACACATATATATATAAATTGAATTTTGGGAAACTTTAACGGTGCTGCAAACTTTGCAAAAAGTCATCCCAATTTACTGTGTTAACTTGGCATTGTACAGAAATGGACAACCATATTGGTCTAGAAATGTTTATTTTATTATTTTTTTCCATGTGTACAGGGGTAACACATCACACTAAATACATAAGGTCATATCTACGAGGGTTTGATTACAGAAACTAATAACGTATTCTCTAAATAATGAAAAAAGAATAAGATAAGACTATAAGAGCGAGAAGCAATTTAAATATGTTCAGGGACCATTTTCATCTCCAGAATTAAGGATTATTTTGATGTTACATCATTGCCTTTTCTCTTTTACTTTCCTTTTTAGTTTTATTTTAGGATTCCCTATTTTTAATGTTCATAGAGAGATTTCTTTAACTGAAATACCGAATAGTTTCTCTGGTGTGAAAAACTATAATAGTACACAGGATCCTAATGAGACAATTAATAATGTGAAATAGGAAGTAAAGGGCTAAAGGTGTAAGGAAAGTGGGAAGGGTGGGGGAAAGGTAATAAAGGAGAGGAAAAAAATATGAGAAACTGAAAAAATGGAAATAAAGTGTTTGTAAATGGGGAGGGGAGGAGGGAGTGAAGGGAGGGCAGGGACAAGGGGAAAAATGAGAATCAAGACCTATTATGTAAAGGTACAGAATCCCAGTGATGAATGTAACTGTATTTGTATACCTAGATTGTACCAATAACCTCAATAAAAAGGAAAAAAAAATATAAACACTGGTTGTAGCAACCAATTGCCTAGCTGCATAAAGTAGACGGTTGTTTCTGCCTATATGTTCTTGCTTGCTGAATAACAGGTATGCCTGAAATTAACCTCTTCTCTAGCTTTCTGTTTTTGCCACTATTATGCAAAGTGGTTAAATCTTCCTTTTGACATCTTTCACAGGTTGACAGAACTAGATGAGTAGCTCTCGTTCAAATATCCTAGACTCACAGCTGAGGGCATTAAATAAATCAGGGAACCACCCTCCTTTGAAGAGGATATGAGTGTTTTGCTTATATATAGAACAATTTCACGCAGGTGGAACATTTTTAACTACACACATAAAAGATCCTATGTCACACAGAGGTATATTGTTATTTTTGCCTAGCCAGCATGCACTTTTCCTTCTTCTGTAATAGTTCCCTAATTTACTTCTGAGAAACAATAACTCCTTATATTCATGTGAAAGAGACTTTTGTCCCTCTCTCTCTTTTTTTTTTTTTGTACCAGGGATTGAACTCTGTGCAAGGCAGGCCACCAAACCACTGAGCTAAATCCCCGGCCCTGTCCCTCTCTTTTGCTCAAAGATCACATGACCTTAGCTAGAACAACAAAGACTCTAATCTCGTGTATAAAGTGTTATAAAGATAAGGGGATATGGTTAATTTGATACAAAATTTTGCCTTTAAATATCCATTGATGCTCACCCATTTAATTTCACCTACAGTCATACATACCTTGGTACTCATCTGCTTTGAAATTCATCAAATTGGCCCTTGATGCATTTTAACTCACAAGTTGTGTTCCAGTACTCATTACTTATTTGGTACTCAAAACACAAGCTACTATTTTTAGTTGTTGAGTGCCTCACCCTTTTCAGCAAAACAATTTGTTTGGTATTTGTAATTTCTGGTACTTGTCATGCCTCCTGGAATCAATAGTGGACCCTCAAGTTATGACCAGCCTGACATACAAACAATTTGAGTTTATTAGGTTAATGAAAGATTCATCTGCCTACTATGTATAGTGTGTACCCAGGTAAACATCCAGATCTTAGCTGTATTGACTTACATCTAACTTGAGTTACAACCAGCCTTTGGGAACCAATCAAGTTGGTAAGCCTAGGGTGCACTGTACCACTGTGTTCTGAATTATGCTTTCTCAGCTAGTCTTTCAATTTTGTAAACTATTTAATATCTTTTATTCATCAATTGTTTTCTCTGACAACAAAAATGCCCTATGATACCTAAACCATTATTTCATTTGAAAAGTGTGGATAATACTAACAAATTTGGTGTGAAAATAAACAAGAGTCATTCATTGAAATATGAGTGTTTCTACTGGCCAGGACTTGTAGGGATATAGAAATAGAAGATGCAGTCCCAAAATGGGAGAGGGAAAAAGGGAGGGTCATGAGAGTCAGCGGAGATGTGACCTGGACAGCTGTAAAGGTGTGGCTTTAAAGTGGTAAATACTTCCTGCACTGTATTAGAATGAACCATATAAAAGTGTATATTCAATCATTTTCTAAATATAAAAGTAATAATTTTATACAATTCAACCTAATCATAGGAAGAAAACATGACAGGAACTATAAATAGATTGGGATTCAGTGGTGGCAGTAATTTAAATGCAATGTGCATAGATTAAAACAATAGATTACTCTTTGAAATAAATTCTCTGCATTCATAACCAATTTTTTGTATTGTTTTATTTTTGGTTTTTTGAGACAGGTCTTACTACATAGTTCACACTTTAACTCATTATGTAGCGTTAGGTTCGCCTTGAACTCATAGTGATCATCCTGCCTCAGCTTCTGAAATGCTGGGATTATACTCATGCGCCACCATGCCCAGCTATAACCAGTATTTTATAGATATAAGAGAAACAGTCAGCCTTTTTCAGATATTCTTGGTACTGACTGAATCTTTTCTAATTTATTCTCCTGAACAACACAAAAGCACCAAAAGACTGGATTTTTTATCTTCAAAAATATTTGAAGAATTAAGGTAGTCCATCTAGAATAAAAATAAACTCGTGCTGTTTTTAGAATAAACCAAATAAATTATAAGCCAACTGAATCGCAAGAGAAAGAGCAAAAAGAAAAAAGGCGCCAACAGTACCTTTTAAAATATTTTTCAAAGATTTAGAATACCGGTCCTTCTGAATATTGCTAATTGCCATATTTGAACACTGCTGCTGCCTCTACAGTATTATTGGTATTTTGTGTCCGTCTAGAATAGAGTTACTAGACTTAAGACCCGATCCTACAGTGTTACCACAGGTACTACAGAAAGTGTTCTATCCTCAGTCTGATCTGCCAGCCCTCCCAGGGAGCTAAGCAACGAACGTCTGCTATGTCACTTTGCACTGCTAACAATGCTAGTGTACAGCCCAGCTTGAAGCCGGAGTAGGTGAGTCTACCCGGAAGAACCTACATTAAAGGGGGATGACAAAGTCACTCCCTGGTGTTTTCAGTTACTGTAAGTGGAGGACTCTCTGACTTAAATCCCAAACTGAGAGATGGGGAAAAGGACTAGGGATGTACCTCAGTACAAAGGCCCTGGATTCAATCCCTGGTACTAGAAAAATGAAAAACAATACCCATATTTAAACGCTGGAAGTGGGCTCAGAGTCTTAGTGATTAACAAAACTGATTAAGAATCACTGTGAAATAACAAAAGACATGAATAGGGTGTTAGGAGAGTTAAATGGATTTTCAAAGGGATCGTAAAGTCACACCCACAGACTGCTATATAGAAAGATGTGGTTTTTTTTATATAAAATGGAGTACTACTCAGCCACAAAGAATAAGAAATTAGAGATATTTACAGTTAAGTGGATGCACATTGAGGCCATATTCAAGTGAAATTAGTAAGTCACACATCTGTAAAATACCAAATAGTTTATCTAGTGTGAAAAACTATAAGTGTAAATAAGGTACAAAATGTATAATTGATATTGTGTAATAGGAAGAAAAAGTCTAAAAGAGTAGAGGAAATAGGAGGGGAAAAGGGGAAAAAGGGAAAAGAAAAAGATATGTCAAAGGGAAAAACATGGAAACAATGTTTTGGTAAACAGGGAAGGGTGGAGGGGCTGAAGGGAGGGCTGGGGAATGGGGAAAAATAAGAACCAAGGTAAGTCATGTAAAGGTACAAGATCCCAAAGATGAATGTAACTGCACTGTATACCTAAAATGTACCAATAAACTCAATAAAGATACACACACACATAATTTTTTAAAAAGAAATCTCTAGCATCAAGAGAACTAAAATTACAACCTTACCTTGTAATAACGGAAATAATCTCGCTCTTGCAGTTTTTTCATTTTGGGGAAGATCTTATAGTTGTTGAAGTTATCAATGCTGTTGATATCACACAAGCAATCATCCAGAACTCCAGCCACCTAGAATTTATATATATAAAAAACTTAAAACATGTAAATTACTGGTTTCAACCTTAACAAATCTGTACTATTATATAAAAGGATAAATTGTTCATTCAAGTTAGCCAGGTTGTTTATTAAGATTCATAACATTAAAACAGTGACTATGTTGTACTATGGTCACTTATATAAAAAACAATATGAAGATTAGATAATGTTCACTCTGAAAAACTAAACATTCTTGGTTAGTGCTCAAAGACTGAATTCTCTGTCTCCTTCCTAAACACATATAAAAAGTAGTAATGGAATGCTAAAACAACCTCTTCCTAGACTAATGTAGAAGTCAGAGTGTAATAATTTCGATATAGCAACCCATCTTTCTTTTAGACTTCCATTTATGAAACACTTATGTGACAGGCACAGTGCTAAGACCTTTAATATGTCACCTTATTTACTCTTTAGAAGTATCCTATAAATAATATCCCATTTTACATGTAAGGAAATTAAAGTTCAGTGAGCTTAAATTAATTTTCCAAAGTAGAAATGGAACTTATTCCCAAATCCATTAGACTTTAAAATTCATGCTCCTTCGGCCAGGGATGTAGCTCAGCAGCACAGTGCCTGCCTGGCGAGCTTCAGGCCCTGATTTCAATTCATGGTACACTCCTCCCCCCCAAAAAAATCACACTCCGATCCACTAAAGAATCCATTAACCCAAGAGAAATTGTTATTTACAAAGTGAAGTTAGAGTCCAAAATTTTCATAAGACATTCTTTAACTGAACTAAAAACTGTACTCAATGATATGCAGTGATTTGGATGAATCGTCTAGGAATTATCCTGAGTAAAAAAAGCCAACTCCAAATGATTACAAACTATATGGCTCCACTTATACAACATTTTTGAAATAAAAAATTTTAGAAATGGGGAAGAGACTGTTGCCAGAACTTAGGGATGGGAAGTAGAGTGGGGTGCGGATGAAGTGGTATGGTTACAAAAAAGCAATAGGAGGGAAGTCTGTGGTGACAAACCACTCTCTCTTCACTGCTGTGGTGGATACACACAGCTATCCATGAATAAAGCTGTATAGAACAAATACATGAACACAAACAATGTGAGAAAAACTGGGGGACTCTAAATGAGGTCTCCAATCAATGACAATGTCCTGGTTATAACACTAGATTATGGGGCCAGGGATTTAGCTCAGTGGTGCTGCCTCCTGCCTTGCAAGCTCAACGACCTGAGTTCCATCCCCAGTACCAAAAAAACAAAACAAAACTCTGGACTACGTATGTTTACAAGATGTTACCATTAGGATAAATGAACAAAGGGTGCATGATATTTATCTGTATTATTTCTTGTAACTATATGAACTTACAACCATCTCAATTCAATTTTTCAATTAAAAATAAGAATGGAGCACAGTCTGCTGCAGGTTATTCATGTGGTTCACAGGAGGAATACACACAAGCAGTGATCAGGATGGAGAAACCAGCCCTCCAGCTGTTCCTTTTTTCCTCCCTAGACATAAATGTGTCCCTAAACTCCCTACAACATTCTGTTACAGCGATATCATCTTGATATGAAGAATAAGGGACCAAAATGTATAATTGATAATGTGAAATAAGAAGAAAAGGTCCAAAGGAGTAAGGGAAATGGGAGGGGTAGGGGAAAGGAAAGAAGGGAAAGGAAAAAATACAAGAAAAGGAAAAACTGGAAACAAAGTCTTTATAAATAGGGTGGGGTGGAGGTGTTGAAGGGTGGGCAAGGGAATGGGGAAAAATAAGAACCAAAATACATCATGTAAAGGTTCAAGTTCCCAATGACACATGTAATTGTATTGTATACCTAAAATGTACCAATAAAAGAATTTAATAAAAAAAAGATTCCATTACTCTCACTACTTATATAGGATCCCAAATTCTAACTTCCTAAAAGACCATAGAAAAGCAAAATCAGAAATACAAACCAAAATATTCAGTTTTAAAATACTGCTCCTAGTAACTGCTACTTCTTGAATTGTTAACTTTGTCCAGTTTAGGAGGCTGAGGCAGGACTAGTTGAGCCCAGGAGTTAGGGCCAGTTTGGGCAATGTAACAAGACACTATCTCTTAGGCTGAGTGACAGCAGATGGCTGTAATTCCAGCACCCTGAAGGATGACACAAGAAGACTACACGTTTGAGCACAGTCTGTGCAACTTAGTAACTTGGTGAGACTTTGCCTCAAAGTTTGAAAAAAAGGACTAGGGATGTACCTCAGTACAAAGGCCCTGGATTCAATCCCTGGTACTAAAAAAGTGAAAAACAATACCCATATTTAATTTTAATTTTCTTTGTTATGTATCCCTAATATAGAGATTTCCCATATTTATGAAAGTTAATATTAGTGAAATTTAGTATGTGAATTCTTATGTAATGTGCCTCTGTTGCTAACATTTTATTTTGGTATCTATTCATGATTAGTTTTATTGTAGCACATTATTTTTCCTGTTAAAAGTGTAGCATAGGGCTGGGGATTTAGCTCAGTGGTTCTGCCACCTGCCTTGCAAGTGCAAGGTCCAGAGCTCAATCCCTGGTACCAATAAATAAATAAATAAATATAAGCAAACAAACAAACAAAAGTGTAGCATAATATGAAAATATCACAGTCTATGCATTCTGTTGATCTATACAGCAGCCAGAATAATGCCCTCCCCAAAATGTCCATGCCCTAATTTCTGAAATCTTTCAATATATTATTTTACATGGCAAAAGGGTCTTTAAAATTGTAATCAAGTATCTTGAAATGGGAAGACTGTACTGGATTATTCATGTCAAACCAAAGTGGTAAGTTCAGAAAGAAAAATTGTAACATGCTAGAGTTGGCTCTGAAGATGGAAAAGGAAATCACAAGCCAAATAGAAGCCCCCTAGAAACTCGGAGAAAGCAAGGGAATGATTCTAGTGTCTCCAGAAGGAAAGTAATCTTGCTGTCATCTTGACTTTAATTCAGTAAAACCCATTTGTAAACTTTTGCCCCAAAACTACAAGATAATAAGTGTATATTCTTTTTGTCACTAAGTCTGTGGCAATTTTTTATAGCAGCAACAGGAAACTAATACAATCCACAATGAGCCAGGTGTGGTGGCGCACATCTGTAATCCCAGCACATGGGAGGCTGAGGCAGGAGGATCGCTGTGAGTTCGAGACCAGCCTGGGCTACCTAGTGAGTTCCAGGTCAGTCTCAACTACTTAGTGAGACCCTGTCTCAAAAAAATCAAAAACCAAAGCAAAACAAAAAAATGGGTGGAAGTTAATGTTGAACCATATCTTCCCCAATATTTGATATTAATCTATGCTTTAATTTTTGCCAATCTAGTAAGCATGAAAAAAATTTAGGAAATCTGGGCCAGGAATCAGAAACAAAGACCAAATATACCTGTATACTACACCACACTGAGTGAGAGAGGACGATATGGACAGTTTTAAGCAAAGGATGAGAAACCAAGGTTTCTCTTGTATATCACCAGAACTGAGGAATTTTTAGATAAGGGAACTTGTTTGATAAAATGACACTTTAACAGAAACTAAGAAACAAAGATACCGAACCTTATGAATATGTGAGGGCTCTTTATAGAAGAAATATCAAGGACAAAGGGAGATCAAAAGATACGGTGAATATTTAAATTTTAAAAATAACTTATTACATTAAAAGATACATTGCCAAAACTGATGGGATAAGTGTGTTTAAAGCAAGGGGGAGTAATACAGGAGGTATCCATAGCAAAGTCTTTTGCTATAACACATTTTTTAAATTTAAACTTTTTAAAATTACACTTTGTTCAAAGGCCTTAAGGCAAGAACATAGTTGCTCTGTTTGAGGAACAGGAAGGGTGGTTTAGCTGGAGCCTATGTGACGGGGAAAAGATACTGGGAAGAACAGATCTGAGAGAAAAGATGGGAATTTGGTTCCAGATATTCATACTGGGATACTTTTAGCCAAATGAGAGGCTGAAAAAGGTTAAAATATAAAGACCTAGAGCTGAGACTCTTACTCTGGAGACCTAAATATAAGAGTAAGCAGTGTAGTGAAGAAGGAGCAAATAGAGGCTGAGGCAGGAGGATTACTGTGAGTTTGAGACCAGCCTGGGCTACACAGTGAGTTCCACAGCAGTCTGAACTACATTGTCCAAAAAACAAGAAAGAAAGAAAAGAAAGAAAAGAAAGAAGAAAGAAAGAAAGAAAGAAAGAAAGAAAGAAAGAAAGAAAGAAAGAAGGAAGGAAGGAAGGAAGGAAGGAAGGAAGGAAGGAAGGAAGGAAATGAAATGAAGAGCAAATAGTACAAGATTTGAACCCTGAAATTCAAATGAATGGCAGGCAAGGGCAGAAGAACAACAAGCAAAGAAAGTACTAAGAAAGACTGGGCTATCAGACAGGAAGGAAATTAAAAGGGTTATAACCCGGAGGCCAAAATAAGTATTTCAAAGACAATGAGTGTTGAGCCTCATTGGTATGAACAGGAGAACCGAAACAGAAAAAATAAAGATAACCTTTGAGTTTTTCTAGAGAGAGAAAAGAAAATGATGCAGAAGCAGAAATGGGTGAGTCAAGACAGAATTCGAAAACAACAGAATAACTTTTTTTTTAATGTACTGAGATTCTAACCCTGGATATTGTATATGCTAGGCAAGCATTCTACTACTGAACTACACTTCAAGCCCAACAGCACATTTTACGGTGATGATAGCAACACATCAGAGAAGGAAACATTGATCCAGGAGGAAAAGAGAAGATTGCTAGAAGTCTTTGAATAGGAAAGAAGAGTTGGGACTTTATGTAGAGCGACTAGCCTTTGACAAGAACACAAACAATTCATCATGGTTACTAATAGCAACTCAAAAATATGTGGGTAGAGTCTACTTTGTGGATGATGTGGGTTACTCTCGGTAAATTCTGTTCTGATTACTCCAATTCTGTTAGTGAGGATGCAGATGGAAGAAGAGGGGTTCAAGGACAAAAAAAAAGACACAAAATGACTGT